ATCTTCCCTTGTAAGCAAACTAAAAATTATTGCGTTATAATGATACAAGGCTTGTTACTATCTACTTTGAAAAACAAACTGGAATTCTATTTTTAGCAGCAGCGGGAGCTTCTGATGAGGAACTCATTTTGTCTATATAAATCAGCACCTGCTTTGTACCATCTCTATGCTGCTGATTTCAAATCTATCTCTCTTGCTTCATCTCTCTGTTGACCTCCAGTTTCATACCTCCAACTTTCAGACATCTCCAACTGGATGTCCAGTAGACATCTTAAACTTAACATTTCCAAAACTGAACTTTGTCTCTGAACTCTCCCTATCTCCACTTTCCCTATTGTGTAGAGGACAATACTATCCTCCCAGTGCCTCAGGTTTACAACCATCCTGGAATCTTCACTATCTATCACCCCCCATAGCCAATCTATTGCCAACATCTATTGATTTTTTTTCTTGCTTTTTGGTGAGGCAATTGGGGTTAAGTGACTTGCCCAGGGTCACACAGCTAGTTAAGTATCAAGTGTCTGAGGCTGGATTTGAACTCAGGTACTCCTGACTCCAAGGCGGGAGCTCTATCAAGGTTTATTGATTTTTAGCTTTGCAACATCTCTTGTATATATATATATCCCCTTCTCTCTTCTGCACTACCTCCATTATCACCACAGGAACCATTGCAATAGCCTAGTGGTGGGTCTGCCTGGCTCAAGTCTCTCCCCATTCCAATTTATCTTCTATTCAGCTGCCTGAGTGCTTTTTCTGAAGTACATATTCAACCATGTCATCTCCCTACCCAATAAATGCCAATGGCTCTCTATTGCCTTGACGGTCAATTACAAAATGCTCTATTTGGCATTCAAAGTCTTCAAAACTCGCCCATTCCTACTTTTCCAGTCTTCTTATACCTTATTCCCCACCACAAACTCTTCAATTCAGTGACTCTGATCTCTTTCCTGTTCCAGAAACAAGACACACCTTTTTTTAACTCCAGGAATTTTCCATGCCTGGAATGCTCTCCTTCCTTATCTCTGCCTGCTTTAAAGTCCTATTTTCTATAGGAAGCTTTTCCCAACTCCTCTTTATTCTAGTGTCTTCTTTCTGTTTTTTTTTTTTACCCCCTATTTATTCTGTATATAGCTTGCTTTGTATACATTTGTTTGCTTGTTTTCTCCCCCTTTAGATTGTAAACTTCTTGAGGGCAAGAACTGTGTTTTGCCTCTTTTTGTATCCCCAATGCATAGTGCCTGGCACATAAAGGGTGCATAACCAATAATATGTAATTTACGATTTTAGAGAGTTGCCTGGGGGCACTGGGAGGCTGTAATTTGTTTAAGGTCATACTATAAATACATGTTCAGAGGGAGGGCTTGAATTCTTGCTTTTCCTGACTTCTTATCTACCAGGCTGCATTTCTTCTATCAATTTTTGGTTGCTTAATTCATTATGTTCCTGACTGTTGCTTTAGGTGCAGTACTGTCTTCCATATACTCCTTCCTTATTTAAGGTATGAAATTTCATTCATGGTTGCCTATTTTAGCCACAATCTGTTTCACTAGCATAATTCAAACCAGAAGTGAATTTGCCTCTCTTCTGGAAGTAGACAATATTTTCTATTAATTCTTGTTAGATCAACATCCAACATTGAGATGTGATTGCTATTTCCTCCCTGTCCTTTTCCCATCGAGACCAATTAGGTTCCAAACCAATTCTGGAAGGCAAGTTTGGCCCATCCCTTAATTATTTGCAATCTGTAGATTAGGTAGTTCCAAGGTCAACCTGATAGTTAAATTTTGTTCTACAATGGGATTGGAGTGTCCTTTGAGACTACTCTAGAACATCTGTATTTGGCTATAGTAGTGGTTCTCAAAGTATGGCCCAAGAACCCCTGGGAGACTCCAAGAACTTTGCAAGGGGAGGTGTCTGAGAAAAACATTTTTCTTCATAATAATAGTAAGACATTATTTGCCTATTAAAATACTCCTCTCTTTTTCAACTACATATCTGTGTGAGACTGGATTTTCTTCATACAGAATGAATACAGAAGCAGATATGAGAATCCAACTGTCTTCTATAAAGCTAGGCATTAAAAAGGTTTGCAAAAACATATGAAGCAATATTACTCTTCTCGCTATTTTTTTTGTTTTGAAAAATATAGTTCTTTTCAATAAAATATTATTTATGCTAACCTGTACTGGGTTTATCATTGTTATTTTCAAATAAATTTTTATTTATTTAAATACATAAATAAAAATTTTAAATTTATTTAAATAATTTTAATTAATTAATAATATTAATTTAAATAATTTTATTTAATTAATAGTTAGTAATTAATAAATTTATAAATATATAAATTAATATATTTATATTTATAATTTAATTATAAATTTATAAATTAAAATATTTATAATTTAATTATAAATTTATAAATTAAAATATTTATAATTTAATTATAAATATAAAATAATTAATAATTAATAAAATTAATTAATAATTTAAATTTTAATAAATTAATTTGAATAAATTTTTAAATAAATAAATAAATTTTAAGTAAAAAAGTATTTTAAAGCTTATTAGGTTTAATTTCTAATATGGTAAATATTGACAGACATATCCCATATAAACTTAAAAATTAACAGTGTAAAGGGGTCTTGAAATGCCTTTATGTTGTTTGAGAGCCATTGGGCTAGAGGATTATCATAGGCTCTAAGGGTTTGTCTAGGCAAGGATGACTCAGTTTTGGATTTTACTTCTAAGAGGTCACTTTTTTGGAAAAGAATGACCCTATTAAGTTTATAACAGCCCCCAGTGAGGCCAGGGGCCTCAATTCTATGTTCAGTTTTGAAATTTTACAATGAGTGTAATGTGAATTAGGCTTAATGACAATATCGAAGTAATCTATACAGAGTTGAATTTAGTTAGATTTCACATCTATTTATTTTCTCTCTATTTTGTATTCTGATCCTAACTGTGGAATATACAGAGTGTTTCAAGCAGATAACACCCAGATGTAGAAAAAGCCTATCAGATTTTAAGTCTATATCTTTTTCTAACTGGTAGATATGAAAGTTCAAGCCTGTTAAACTCATGGTTTTGTTATTGTATAGTTGTATTTTAATTATTTAATGGTTTATAATCCAGTTTGTAGATTTTCTAGGTATTCTTCTCTTTTTTCTTGCTAATAGTTTTCATACTATCATAGTACCTTAGTACTTTCAGTCAAGGGTAGGGAGGGTCAGAGAGAGGAAATAAATAAATCATTACTGCTTGATAACATTCCTGGTAAAAATTTTGAGGGAGAGGTTAAATAGTTAAAAAGGGGTTTTCTTTATCTGTGGATATATTTTATCTAATATTTTTCCTGTCCATCATGATAGATTATCAATAGTAAATGCAATAATATTTTAAAAATATTAACATATTATAATAAATATTAGTAAATTAGGAGTTTTGGGTTCAGTTTTTGATTCCATCACTTTGACCTCAGTCAAATCAATTTACCTTTATGTATTGATTTCTCCATTTGGAAAAGGATATGAAACCATTGTTTCCCGATCCTCAGAGCTATATGTAAACACACAAATTACTATCATTTCATCTTTGTTATGTAGTGAAGTGCTCACATATTCAGTCATACCCTTTCTTAGAATCAAGGACATCTGGAGAGGAAGGTAGAGGGACCCCACTATTATCTCCCTGTGTTCTGATTAATCCATCATTTTTAGCCTCCATCTTCTGGTAAATATGCCAATATTATACTTTTTGAAAGGGTTCCACACAGCTTCCTAAGGATAGAGTTTCAGTCTCAGCTGCTTCTTCTCAGTGTGGCTATATCTCTCATACTAAAGAATTCCTCCAGGTGACAGCCAAGGCCTTTCCTCCCAATTAATCTCTGAGTCTAGAGGCAGGTACTGAATATAGTGCTGTAATGAAAGATTGGTAAGTTTCTTTCCCTCCAGTGAGAATTTTCGGATGTGGGTTATTTCAAAAAGGTTAAATTAGAGTAATAATGAAAATAGCTAATATTTGCATAATGCTTTAAGCTTTGCAAAGCACTTTACATATATTATCTCACCTATACCCTCTGGGAGTTAGGTTCACGATGCCTTTAGAGAGCAGAAGCCAAACAAACAGAAATGAGGGCACCTATATTTTTTAAAGGAGAAACTAATAATTCTTTGCATAGTGGGCACTTAATAAATACTTGTGGAATAAATGAGTAACATGTGAAAAGCTACTATTTTTTTGAAAAACATTTTTATTTTTTACAAATACTCTATCACTAGTCAGTCGCCACAATGTAATATAGCATGATTACAGTTCTAGCAGCATCTCAGCCATAGTAGCTAATCAATCTGTCCAACAGAAAGAATGTCTTTTTTTTTCCTCTGGTGGAAAGAAAGAGAAACACAGGACACATGGTATAAAAGATGCAAGCAAGACTCAAACTAAAATAAGAATTGACAGCAAATACACAATTCTTGGCACTTCAGTTAAAACACAACTGCAGAATTCAAAACTCTATTTAAGTATTAAATAGATGTGAAAAGTGAGAGCTGTCTAAAGATTTCTTAGTCTTCAGAACAAGTGGCTGCCTGATTTTTTTTTTCTTTTCTTCTGTACACACTGGAGAATGAGGTGAGAGAAATGAAAAAAGTTAGGAAAGGAAGAAGGGAAAGGAGAGAAAGGAGGAAGAAAAGAGGGAAAGGGAAGGAAAGGGTGTCAGGAAGGGAAGAGAGACTGGAGAAAAAAAGGAAACAAAGGGAGAGAGAAAAAAGGGAAGAGGCAGGGAAGGAGGAAGATGGAAGATGGAAGGATGGAAGAGGAGAAGGGGAAGGAGGGGAAAAGAAGGGCAGAAAAGGGAGGGAAGAAGAAAAAGAAAGAGGGTAAGGAAGGAGGCTTTAAAGTAAACCACCTGCTTTTCTTGTTAATCAAGGATCTCTGGAGAGATGGGCTTTCCTGGCTTCCCCCGAAAGGCTCAGAAGTCAAAACTCAGGCCACTCCACTGACTAGAAGGCGCTTTCACAGGAGCAGGGGAGCTGCTTGGGGGCAGGCGGTAGTGGTGGGTGAAGGAAGCCCTCCGACGTGGAAGCTCCAGGCTGTTCCCGACGATGATGGTGATGATAGTGGTGGTGGGGCCAGCGGTGCCGGTGGAGTGGCTGGTGTCCCCGGGCCGCCTCGTCCTCGTCCTCCCCGTCTCCTTTCTTCGGGCAGTGGCCGCAGCAGCAGACTGTGCCCAGCCTCCTCCACAACCGCCGCAGCCGGCTATCATCAGCTTGGAAGAAGAGGTAGACGTAGGGATTGAGGGCGCTGTTAGTGACCACCACGACGCCCAGCGCAGAGGCCAAGCCCTGGCCCTGACCTTCGTCCGGGGGCTCGGACGACCAAGCAGCAGCCAGCTCCGCCGCGAAGTAGGGCAGCTCGCAGACCACGAAGAGCAGGGCCAGCACCAGGGTCATCTTTAGGCTTTGCACCTTGGCTCGAGTGAGCGAGCTTCGAGCTGGGGCCCTGCAGTGGCCAGCCTCCCAGGCGCAGGGGGACCAGGGGACAGGAGCTGACGCCTGGGGTCGCTGCTGCCACAGAGTCCAGAGCAGGCGGCCGCAGGCGACGCCCACAACGGCAAGAGGGGCCAGGAAGCCCGCGACGGCCCCATACACCGTGTAGACCTGCAGGTGCCAGCGAGGCAGGGCTCCGAAGATGGTACGGCACCGGCGCTCTCCGGACCATGCCCGGGCAGAAGCCGATGGCCCTGGCGGGTTCTGCGAGGTGGCTAGGGAAGAGCCAGGTGTGGACGAAGCCGAGGGCAAGGCGGGAACTCCACTGTAGCCGTCGGGGAGGCCGGCGGACGGCCAGCCACGGACCACAAAAGCCTGGGGCAGGGCGAGGAGCAGTGCCAGCAGCCAGCCTAGGGCGGCAAGAGCGCGGGTGGGGAGGGGAGGGCCCAGGGGCCGGCTCACCACCCGGTGTCGCTCCAGGCAGATGAGGGCGAGGATGTTGGAGGAGGCCAGGAGCGCTGACACCTGCAGCAGCTTGACTACCCGGCAGGCCAGGTCTCCCGCCACCAGGTGGGTGTTCCCCAGCAGCTCCCAAGCCAGCTGCGACAGCACGGTCCCCCCGCACACGTACAGGTCGGCCAGGGCCAGCTGCACCAGCAGAAAGTCCATCTTCCGACGCTTGGGGCCGGCCCAGGGTCCACCGCCACTGCCGCACAGCGTACAAAGCACGGTGGCGTTACCCACCACTGCCACCACCAAGATTATCCCGAGAGAAACGAGCCGGACCTTATGGCTTGGAAGTGTGGGAGCCGGGGACAGCATCCCGGCAGCAGAGCCCCCCACAGACGACAGGTTGATACCCTGGCCCAGCGGGATGGAGAGGTTAGGTACCTGCGGCAGAGGGCCGGGTCCAAAGGGATCCTCCATATCCTAGCAAAGGCGGCTCCGATGATTGAAGTGTTGGCACCGCAGGGGTGGGTGGGACCGGGCGCGGGAGTTCGAGGTGAAGGTGAAGGAGCGCTCCAGCTGCGGGGCTGCCGGGTTAAGTTCCTTCTTGGAAAACAAACTTTCTTGAAAACGCACAAAGAGTGATGAATGCCGACGGATTTGCGCTCTCTCTCTCTTTTTTTAAAATTTTTTCTTTAATAGGTTGTGTCTCCGTCATTTGACACTGCGTTGTGGGCTGTGCACCAAGTGAAGGCACGATTGCTTATTCGCCACCCCCCACTTCGAGCCGCCGCAGCTTTCCCTTCCAACCAGTCCTGCCCGCCCCCTGTCTTCCCTGGAGCGCGGTGAATGGAGTAGATCAGCCTTGAGAGAACAGCAAACACACAAGTGGCCTTGCAGCCCAGTGAGACCACTCTCCAGGAAGAAAAGCGCTTGGACGGATAATTAACGATTTGGCCGGAGCCTTGCAACCATCTTCCCTCGGAAAGCAGCTGCCTGCGGGAAGCACCTGGCTGCCTGGGGCTTTAAAGGGTCTTCTTTAAAGAACTGATGTATTTCCCTTAAACGCCTGGCTGGGGACGATTAACCTGGTTTAAAGCGTGGCTCTGTGTAAGAATGAGAAAATAAAAACACAGAACCCAATAGCAATATATGAATAAAATCAAACCAGAAGAACGTCCGAGAAGCTTGGTACGTATAACCTGTCCAACAATCAGTATGGATTTTGTTGCAGTGACTTCTCTCAGGAATGAAGTCAAAGACTTGCAGTTGTGATTTTCCGATCACTAAAGGCATTCTTTTCCATAGTAGCAGACTGCTACATTCTCTGCAATGTGAAATTAATTTCATTAGTCTAAAGAATGCATTAATAGGTTTTATGCAAATTAAGTAATCCATTTATTGCTTTCCCCCTTATATTTTGATCCAGGGACGGATGTATCGTTTCTTCTCACTCTTGATTTCCCCTTCCACCAGATGGGAGGTTGCTGAGAGGGACTACGCCTCCATTAAACCTAAGAAAAGGTGACTAAGAAAACGTACAAGCAGCCAATCTTTTTTGGAAAGAGAAATCCAAGTAATAGGAATTGGTTTAGATTAAATCCTTGCAACAGACCTCTCCTCTTGAGCCCCCCATAAACAAGATTTAATTTTTCCTGCTTGAACCGTTGCAGCCCTGCCAACATAAAAAGACCAGCTAGGTTAAGGATCCTTGCACCAATCTGGTTCGTAGTTAGGGCCAAAGGTAAATAAAATGCTGTTATTGAAAATCTTAGACTTGTGAAAGCTATAAAACCTGAGTGCTAGAACCCTATAAGGTTTGCCTAGGTATCCCTCTTGCCAACCCCCCCTTTTTTTTTTTAGCAAGGCAATGGGATTAAGTGACATGCCCAAGGTCACACAGCTAGTAAGTGTTGCATGGCTGAGGCTGGATTTGAACTCGGGTCCTCCTGAATCCAGGGCTGGCGCTCTATCCACTGTGCCACCTAGCTTCCCCCCAATTCTTTTTTTAAAAAAAGATTTTGACATGCTTTTCAATAATGGCTCGCCTGCTCATTCTCCCCACCCCCAGGGGAGCCAGAACTCTGGATTGGGGTTAGGGATTCCAATCCTAGTCCTTAAAGTCAGTTGTCTAACCCTGGATAAGTCACTTTACCTCTTGTGGGACCTATTTTCAGTAACTATCAAATGAAAGGGTTGTTCTAAGTCCGCGAGTGGGGCAGCTAGGTGGTGAAGTGGATAGAGTGCCAGGCCTGGAGTCAGGAAGACTAATTTTCTCAACTTCTGGTCAAATCTGGTCCCAGATGCTTACCAGCTGTGTGACCTTGGGCAAGTCACTTAACCTTCTTTGCCTCACTTTCCTCATCTGTAACATGAACTGGAGAGAGAAATGGCAAGCCATGCCATTAAAAAAACCCCTAAAATAGGATCAGTAAGAGTCCAACACAACTAAAAAAAATCTGGGGCAACTAGGTGGCAAAGAAGATAGAGGGCTGGCTCTGGAGTCAGGAGGACTTGAGTTCAAACCTCACCTCAGACAATTACTAGCTGTGTAGCCCTGGGCAAGTCACTTAACCTTCTTTGCCTCACTTTCCTCATCTGTAAAATGAACTGGAGAAGGAAATGGCAAACCACTCTTTGTCAAAATTTGAGTTTCTATCCCCATTATATATTTTGGTGATCCGGAGCAAGTCACTTCATGGCTGTAGAGATCATAAAATTCAAATAAGCATATTGTAAAGGAAAATCATTTATTCATATTAAAAAACATATTATTGATACTTATTGTTTTTACATGACAGTAATTCCATACCTTCCTTTTCCCCTTTGAAATCTCCTTTGTGACAAAGAATATGCCACCTCCATCTAATCTTTGAGGAAAAGGTAGGTAGGCACACTTTAATTTTTATTGGAGAGGAAAAGGCATTTGGGGAAAAGGTCATTGAGTCATATAGTCTATAAAGATATATTAAATATCTGCTATATGCCAGGCACTGTGCTAAGTGCTAAGGTTACAGAGAGACAAAAGACAGTTCCTGCCCTCAAAGAGCTCACAATCTAATGGGGGAGAAAAGCAAACAACTATGTACAATAAAGCTATCTACAGGACAAATGGGAAATAATAATAACAATAGCTAACATTTACATAGTGTTTATTTTGTGCCAGGCACTGTGCCAAGTACTTTACAAATATCAGAGATAAGAGGGGTTAGGAAAAGCTACCAGTAGGTGGGATTTTGTCTGGGACTGGAAGAAAGGTAAGAGGCAGATAGGAGGAGGAAGAGCATTCCAGGAATGGGGGATATCCAGTAAGAAATGTCAGGATTCAGATGGAGTGTCTTGTGTAAGGAAGATCGAGGACACCAGTGTCACTAGATCAGAGTATGGGGGTGGTGGGGGTGGAGGTGGTGATAAGCAAGGTGGTGCTTAGGTTATGAATATTGAATATCAATGATTTTAGATGACAAAAAGAGGACTTATGTTTGATCCTGGACTTATATTTTATCCTGAAAGTAACAAGGAGCCACTTGTATTGAGTGGGAGTGGTTGTGGTGATGTGTATGAATTGGTTAGACCTGGACTTCAGGAAAATCACTTTGCAGGAAGGATTGGAGGAGAGACTTAAGGCACACAGACCTACTAGTAGCACATTACAGTAGTTGAGGTGTGAGGGAATGAGGGCGTACACTCGAGTGGTGGCAGTGTCAGAGGAGAGAAGCGGGTGAGAGATGCTGCAAAGTGAAATGAACAGGCCTTGGCAACAGATAGGATATGGATGGTGAGAGAGAGGGGAGTCAAGGAGGACACCTAGACTGGGAGCAGTCTTTGTGTAGGACTTCCAGACGAGACATATTTAACTGAACAAGTAAAATACAACATTTGTAATGGGGACATTTATTAGCACAAATAAAAAAGACATTCAAGAAAATTCATAGAAAGGCAGTAAACACGATTGAAGAACTGTTCAAATATGAACAAATTCAAAGAATGGAATCTCACTTTTATTCATTTGCAAAAAGTGCTTCAGTAGAACATTTTTTCAAAGTAACTACAACGATAACGCAGTTAAAGTTGGATCCAGGTTCCTGCTACTCTTAACAAATCCAGTTCCCCAGCCTCACACAAGCTTCAACCCAGGGTGCTAAAAGAATAAACATAATCAAGGAGTGAGATGATTCACAGTCTGATGAGTCTTCGACTTATGCCTTGGTGATGTTGGGCAAGCTATGTAACTTCAGTGGGCTTCACACCCTTCGACAAAATAAGGCACTGGACTGTTCATCTTCTAGCTCTCAATCTATGATCTTATGGCTGTTCTTATTTGATGTAAATTAACTTTAAAGGTTCAATAAATGTTAAAACATTTCACAGAGGTATTATCTTTGTATTAGAGTATTTGTAACTATATAGTTGTTTTTTTCATATTTTATTTAAGCTGTTTAATATCAACACATAATAGCAGCTACATTAGAAAACATAATTCTATAAACATCCAGCTTCTATTTTAAAATATAACAGCATTTAATAAAATTGCTTTGACTGCCAATGATCACTTAATTATCAAATTTCACTATACCTTTAGTGATAAAGACTGTTGTAACCGTATACATATTTATACCACTTGTATAAAGATGTAAAAGCATGTAAGTAGAGCATATTGTTATGCATTTTTGTACAAACATTTTATAAGTTAGTGTTGGTTTTAAGCCATTGGTTAATTGCACTTTCATACTTTCTTGGTTCTTTCAACCAGTCCTGGTGCCACCTAAGGTTTGCTATAACTTTTGTATAGTTTTGTCCTAAGCTGTCTTTCCAACTGATAAACTCTTTCTTGTTGTACTGGTGGACAGAAGCAGAAACTACAGGGTAGTTTATAATGGAGCGAAGCTTTTGGTCCAGAGAATGAGTGATTTCTGGAAACCTTGTGGCTATATTTGTTAATTCATCTGGATCTGAAGAAAGATCTGAAAGAAAAAAATTTATATGGCTGAATGATATATTTATTATTATTCAAAATCAAGTCACCTGCTAGAAAGATACCACTTTATGTTGAATTCAGAATGTCATTATTTTACGTTAGATTTGCTATTATGTGAGAAACTGCTTCTTTTTTCCTCTTTTTGGTTAATGTGAATGCTGAGCAGGAGGCATTCCCTTGGAATGCAAATCAGGAATGGTCCCATCTGCCTGGATGACAGTGGCAATGCCCTATCATTATTTTTGGCTTCCTGTTGTCCTTTCCTGTCCATTCTGTAGGGATAACAGAAGCAAAGTAGGGAGCACTCTAATGTCAGGGCCTTATCATTAGCAATGTGGCTTGAAACTTTTTAACAACTAGGGGGCAGGTAGCTGGCCCAGTGGATAGAGCACTGGCCCTGAAGTCAGGAGCACCTGAGTTCAAAGCTGTCCTCAGACTGAACACTTGACACTTACTAGCTGTGTGACCCTGGGCAAGCTTTTTAACAACCTCAGTTGCCAAA